CGCGAAACTTTAACGCGAAACTCCACGAGTTAAACCTGAGAGGTGATGCAGCTGGGCATGGACCAATTGCGCCTAAAACAAAATTTTTATACTAGGGTCAGTGTACCAATTGCGCCTCTTATATTTTAGGTCAGTGTACCAATTGCGCTCTTTATATTTTACGGTCAATATACCAATTGCGCTTGTATTTAAATTATATTATTCTAAATTGTAATGCCATGCTCAAATTATAATTTAAAAAATTATTATTATTCTTAAAACATGCAAAATACAAACATCATGATTACCTTAAACTCAAAATCTTATTATTATTATTATTATATCTTTATGATTTAACCACCTATTCTATTATTATTAATATTACCTATTTTATTTTAGTTTTCATTAACTAAACTGTATATTCTCGTTTCACCGAAACAAAAAAAAATCGGTTATTAACAAACTAATAAGTTTTCCTCAGGTAATGTATTGAGCGCAATTGGTCTATCGTCTATCGGCCCTAATTTTTTTAGAGATGATGTGAAGAAAAAAATTCGGTTAGTATAATAATGTATTATATGATTATAATTAATAACTAACTAATAACTTTTCCTTAGGTAGTGTAAAATGTTTTGAGCGCAATTGGTCTATTGACCCTAAAATGTATAAAGCGCAATTGGTCTATCGACCCTACAATTTTTAGAGCGCAATTGGTATATCGACCCAAAAATGTTTAGAGCGCAATTGGTATATGAAAAGGTCATTTTAAGCGCAATTGGTAAACTCCCATGCAGCTTGCCGTCTCGGGTCACCACAACAGACCGCCGAGCATCTGCTGTATGAATGCCCACTCTCGAGCCAAGAAAGAGAGAAACTCGCGATCGTAGTACGAGCGGCCGGTGCGGACTGGCCGTGCGATCCCGAATTCATGACGAGATCCGACGTCATGTTCCAGGCGGTAAAACAGTTCGCACACGCGACATTATACTAGAGAGAAAAATCCCAATTGCAAGATTTTACCTACAGGATTGACAAATAAAGAAATGTATAAAGCTTATCAAGAATTCTGTAATACAGTGAAACATGTTGAACCGAAAAAAGAAAGTTTTTATAGACATTTTTTTAACACACAATTCAACCTAAGCTTTCATAGACCTTTTACTGATACATGTGACATTTGTGACAAGCTAACCAAGAAAATAGAGTTTGGTACACCTGAACAAAAACTAGAGTGTAAAAACCAAAAATAACTCCATCTCCGTAGAGCAGAAGCTGCCTGCTTGGCCAATGATAACACCAAACATATTGAGGATGATACTCACATATCAATCTGTTTTAATTTGCAAAAAACGCTGCCAACACCAAATTTGTCAAACCAAAAGGCCTACTATTTCCGTAAATTGTGGACCTACAATTTAGCAATACACGAATTGAAAACTGGTATGGATAACATGTACATGTGGCATGAAGCCCAGGCATCCCGTGGATGCAAAGAAATTGCATCATGTTTATTGAAATTTATAATGAGCATACCTTCAACAGTAAAGCACATCACATGCTTTACAGACAACTGTGGAGGTCAAAATAAAAGCCAAATCATTGTAAAATGTTGGTTATATATTGTTAGAACAACAAATATCGAAACTGTTGATCATAGATTTTTTTTGTTGTGGACATTCATACAATGAATGTGACCAAGACTTTGGTCAAATTGAACTGAAGAAATGACGTATTAAGGAAAGCATCTATATTCCAGAACATTGGTATGACTTGGTGAGTTCCACAAGTAAAAAAACTATTGTAGTAAAAATGGAAGATAAGGATGTTATTGATCTAGAATCACTTCAACCTCACTTTAAGAAGTCAGTTCCAGGTATACGTCAGATGCAGTGGCTGCATTTTGAAAAAATAGTCCAGATACTCTGTATTTTAAACATAGTTCTGCTGACGGGCTAGAGATGTTCAGTGAGATGTCTATGAAGGGAAAAAATTGTCGTAGGGGACAAAAACAATTTCCAAAACACTTACCTTCAGTAAAAGAAAAACCGGTACTAAAACCAGCAAAGGTAAAGGACCTGCTAGATCAAATTCAATACATACCCCCAATTCATCATCAATTTTTTAAAGCTTGACTAATAATCCTTTATAATATACTGAAAATAATGTTGCTTCTAGAGAAGATAATCAAACAGAAGATGATGTTGTGGCTTCTGAGATGGACTTATGTACTTTCTATGGCACTGATAAAGATTAAAAAATATTTAACGATAACATTTTTTTTTATTTTACAAAGACTGTCACAAACTGCCAGTAAAAAAATATTATAACTTTATTATGTTTCTGTTGTTTTTAGTTTGGTATTAGGTCTGTGAGATTACGGAGCTTTTTAGGGTTCTGCAAACCACCCACAACTTGAGGGGAACACTCAAGTGGTGACCAACGAGCCACGCTGAGTGACGATCCTAAGATTGTCGCGGCGGAACTCGTAGGTTTTAACACTATGGGGTAATGAAACGCCATTTTATTCTTGTATTTGGGATAACTCATAGCTTAAAGCTAGGGAAAAAGGTGACCAATGAATAAATAAAAAAAAATGAATTTAAAGTAATAATAAGAATTTGTATTGTACATAATAATAATTAATAATAATTTAGGATAATAATTTGAATGTCGCAAGCGTAACGGATAATGATACAATTTGGTTATTTAAATGTGAGGAGAATAATATTTGATACTTTGGCACACGGATGGTGTTCATTTAATAATAATTTATAATAATTGCGAAACTCAGGTCGACCCATGAGGTTCTGCGTGACACCGACGGTGTATAAAATAGAATAAATTGCCAACAAGTAGCTAACCATAGGGTTACCGCCCGAGCTGTTGCGTATAACAAAATAATAAGAGAAAGAAAGAGAGGAAAATATTACGACAACCAAATTTTAGAGGGGTATGGGGGGGAAAAGAAATGATACATTACAAAATCATGAGGTTGACTGTTGAGGTGGTTGTTGACGTCCCGAAGATATGGGTAGGCTGACAAAACTGTCTCCGGCTCGCACGTGGCCGGCATGGCCCACCTGGTCGTCGGAAACGTAGATCCACATTGTGGAGTGGAAACCCATCGCGGTCCGTGTCATATGGCCACCACGGCCCACTGGCGTTGTTCAGCCCATCATGATGAGGTTTCAACCACGGTTTAATACAGAAAAAACACAATGATTGCCGTCGAAAATCGTGGGTGTACACGTGGTATACGGCAAGGAGTCTTGCACGTTCAGCGGTCTCGGTGTAAAAAAAGAGAGTAATGAGGCGTCAGCGGTCGTCTTCGGCCGTTGGGCCCTGGTCGTCTTCGTGGTATTGGTGGGAAAAGTCAGTGTCGCATGATCAGGGGAAAGTTACATTAATTAGGGAATGACAAACTGCCCTGTCGGCACGCACCGACGGACGCGACGGTCGCGACCGGCGGCGGCCTGTCGACAAGCGGACACTGCAGGTGTTGTGGGGGTCGGGGATCGAGTATTACGTAATATTGCTCATGATAATAATTAATGGCATGCGATTGGTATAGTAATACAGTATAACTTCCGTTAACGATCACCTCTATAGGGGCGCATGTAAACTCCGCCACAAGAACCTTTTTTTACTGTAAACTCCGCCAGAAAAAAAAAACAGGTAAAATTGTGTTCATGTAAACTCCGCCACTGAAAAAAATCAGGTAAAATTGAGTTTATGTAAACTCCGCCAGTGAAGAAAATCAAATAGTAGTATAAAATTAATATGATATATTATTAAAAAAAAATTATAATATAATATCATATCATATCATATCAATATTTAAATCATAGTATAAAAAATCATAATAAATAATCCAAAATCATATTTTTCATAATTATAATTAATAAATAATTTAAATTATAAATTATTAATAATTTGAATCGATCTAACCTTGACAATATTTTATCAATTTTGACATAAATCATCACAATAGATGTAGGTAAACGTATTTAATGTGAGAAGGCACGTGGCAATGTGAGTACTGTAGCACTGACCAGGTAAAAAAAAAAACTGGCGGAGTTTACATATACCCATTACAGGTAAGAAAAAACAACTGGCGGAGTTTACCATAGACCTATTATTACCTTTTTATCTTGACCGATATTCTGGCGGAGTTTACAATCGCCCCTCTATAGGACGGTCACCTCTATGTAACGGTCAATTTTTTTGGTCCCGTCGAGGGTTATCCTAGTGTTATCCTACCTCTGTAGAACGGGCACCTCTAAATAGCGGTCATTATTTACAGTCCCTTCGGTGACCGTTATATGGAAGTTCTACTGTATTAAATAGTGATAAAATTCTGTGACGTTACAGGTCAAAGACTGACATCAAAATATTGTGATTATTAATATTATAATTTTGTTATTTTTTTTTTATTGTTTTTATTTTCTAATAAAACATTACCTATTATTATTAATATAAAATTTAAAAGAAACTTTTAATGTTTAACTATGGTCAAAGACTGACATCAAAATAGTGTGATTATTAATTTTATAATTTTGTTATTTTTTTATTGTTTTTATTTTGTAATAAAACATTACTTATTATTATTAATATAAAATTTAAAAGAAAGTTTTAATGTTTAACTATGGTCAAAGACTGACATCAAAATATTGTGATTATTTTAACATTAATAAATTTTACATTTTTATACATTTTATTAACTGAAGTCTTAAGTTTTTATTTTTTTCTCACTTATATCTCTTTAATTCAAAGAAATAATAAAATATTGTGCATTTGTAGTAAAGGGGTATAAGTGAAATCAAAGGTCAAACAATTGTCCATAGATCAAACAATTCTTGTTCAACCTTTACAATATCACATAAAATAAACTTTTATATGTGTACAGATAACAATTTAATAATTAAATTAAACAATATCCTTTATTGTAATTTGAGAGAATGTGTTAACTTTGACCTTAATTATTACGAAATACAAATAATGTCGCTTATACCCCTTGTGTTCTAGGCGCCTCTATTATGATATGCGTGTGCTGTTACCGTAGTATTAGGTTCAGAATCAAAGTTGGTTTTTACTTCGTTTTCTTTATTATTTGATTCATGAACTATTTTTACTAAATGTAATAATGAATTATGTGGTTTATTGCATTTAAAACATTTTTTAAATTTGCATTTTTTGTCCAAATGTATTCGTAGATAAATGTTGCATAAATTGAAATCCGTAACCTTTGGAATTCGTTGAGGAACTGTCATATCCAAAAACGTCGGACATTTGTACACGGTATGTGATTGTTTACAAGCAAAACATTTTATATCGTCAGCGGCAAAATACGACGATGTAGCACGCATTTTATTTTGATTATTATTATTACCTTTTTTGATGGTAGTAGACTGAGGGGGAACAATAATCTGCATTGCTGACTCAACAGCTTCTAAAATTTGACACCTTTTTTGTAAAAATGTTATCAACAAGTCTATTGAAGCTACACTGGTTTTGGGGGCTTCCATTTCCCATTCAGTTAATGTACTCGAATACAGCTTCGTAGTGATTACATGTATCAGTAGCGATCCCCACGACTTTGGAGTTTGATCCAATGTTTCTCATGTGAGCAGTTACCGAATCGGTTAATTGACGTAATTTGACTGAAATAACCTCGAGGTCACATATAGCTTTTGTATGCGCTTGTGCTAAAACTTTTTTATTGCTGTATCTTGCTGTCAATGTTTTCCATGCAGTATCATAATTTTTCGCAGTCGTTTCTAGTGATTGTATAACATTGGTAGCTGTACCGGCTATAGACGATCTTAAATAGAAGAACTTTTGAACTGGTGATAACTAGTCATTCATATGAACAAGGGCTATAAACATATCATTAAATGCAAACCAATCTTTGTAATCGCCAGAAAATACTGGTATATTAATTGCAGCCAGTTTTACAATTGACGACTTTGTCATATTACTGTCACTGCAGCTCGACAATCTTTTCGTATTGGTTTTTCCATCATCTTCGATGTAATGTTCATTATTACGTACCGTAATATTGTTCGATTTATTAATTATTTTTTCACACTCTGCTACAGCTTGAAAATATAATTCTTCGAACTCGCTTCTGTATGCTTCGTGTTCTTCGCTTAAGTCAGGCGCTCATTCTTTGATTTCTGATTGTGTTTGTTCAAACTCACGCCATACTTCTTCTAATTTATCTCTCCTTGCTTTAATTATTTCGCTATCAATGTTCTCTGAGTTGACCTTGGTAAAATTTATCGCTCTAGTTAGTTTGCCCTTTAAAACACCACGACGGATTATGAGCTCCGCGTTATCTGGCATTTTTACGATAGACTAAATATATTATTATATACCTTAACGCAACTTACTAGACTCTAATCTTAATATATTATTGGAAAATACGCTACTCTAATTTTCGCAACACTGTACTTATTCAGGAATGGAATTTATTTAGGATTTCTAATTGATCAATTATAAGGAAGCTCTTACCTCTGTATATTTTCGATGTATTGACAATAATTTTTCCTCTGAACGATTTTGTAATACTGGTTGGTACCTCCTTGAGTTGGCTTTTGAACAGCACACCAATGTTAGACACCGCTCTATGCTAACGCGAATGCGGATACTGTTCTGGTCACTGAATGACTGCACCTCGAATGATCATTACTGATGATAAATACAGTAAAAATCAGGTTCGATGGACCAAAATGTTCGATATTTAAAGTGGACTGTAAACTTTTATTTTAAATTGGTTAGTGTTTTATTATATTATACAGAATAATGATCTTCGGTGGACGGTAGTACAACATTCGAGAGACTACAAATGACAACTGATCGGCAAACACATTATTGTCGTTACGATCGCCAGGCGAATAAATGTTATCGCGGGTCGTGACAGTCGAGATAATACAATTTATTACAGTGATATTATAGGTACCTACGTAACAAATATTATATAAGTAGCTACATTAGTAGGTAGTAGGTTCTACCAAAGAATTTAATAATAAAACAAGCATGAAGCAATATAAAACTCACATTTTCCAATAAATTTGACTTTATATTAGAACCTACAGATGCAACAAATGGATTAGCAGGAGCTCCAGGTACTTTTATTTTCACTCGTTTTCCACCATGAAGAGCATTTTCATGCTTTTTTTGAAAGTCATTATTAAAAATGCTTACACAAGACTCGCATTGGACTTTTCTCCTTTTCCCCATATCTCACATTTATAAGAGGTATCTAGAGGTATCTTATTTTCATTATTGATAATAAGAGTATTGACTACCATGTAGGTTTAATAGCCATAGTATTACAGTATTACCTACATTATAATTAAATTAAGTAACTATAACTTAATCGATATAATTAACTTTCAAAGCCTCAAAGCCCAAAGGCAAATAGTTCATTACATATTATGTGATATATTAATTATAAATTTAAATTCATATTATAGAAATGTCTTATGCCATGTGAATTAAATAAAAACTTTACGGAAAAATATAAAATGAATAATAATTACCTGTTAATCGCTGTTATACAATTATTGTATTCATCAAAAAACACGCACAACAAATTAGACGATATAAATAATTAAATAATAATATATATTTTAGAAGTATGATTGTAAACTATAGACTCTATAATATAGTTGCAATGGCTTTCTCAAATAACATTTTGAAGTATTTAAATACGCTTAATGTCGAACTACAAGGAGAAGGGAAATTAATATGTGATTTGATACAAAGTGGGTCTGCTTTCATTCGCAAACTAAATATATTTGAACGAGACATTGAACAAAAAAAATTCATTCACTTTCCCACAATATTTGAATGCAAAATATATTCTGAAATTGTAAACATCGAAACATTTTTAATTTTTTTGTTAGATCTTATGAAGGAATTCGATGCTTTAGATTCAAAGACTTTTCTGAAATAGGAAAACTATCACAATTCTTAAAAACCCCTTACGACGTTCTCCCAGACGGAGAATGGACTGATGTAGCTGAAAAATTATTTAATCTTTCAAAGTCAAAACTCCAAATGGAAATAATAGACCTATCGGAAGATGTTTCCTTGAAGCAGTACAGAAGTGCGTCAACTGAAGAATTCTGGGACAAAGATGCCATTGACAAGTATTCAAACTGTAAGCAACTGGCAATCAACTTGGCTACGATGTTTGGTTCGACATACATTTGTGAGGCATGGTTTTCAAAAATTAATTTTTTGAAAAACAAATATCGGACAAAATTAACACTCTCACCTTGAGGACACATTGCGCATAAGCTGTTCTCCACGAGTTCCCGATTTCAAAAAGCTCGCTAAGGAAAATAAATGCAATTGTTCGCATTAAATAATTTACTGTAAAAGATATATATTTTTTTTCATACTTTTAATATTGTAATTTTTAACATAAATTAATTGTAATTTACTGAATAATTATTTTTATTTTTTAACTGCTATTTTTAAAATACAAATATTTGAAAAAGATTTTTTTCACTGGACCTCATTGATTTATTATTTTAATCTTTAGGACTCCAATATAAATTACTTGCCGACCCCTGCTATAGATGCTCAAGTGTGTTAAGGTAGTAATAAAGTGTATGTCGCGGGTTTTTACACAATTTAATTAACATTCATAGGAAAAAAAAATAAAATTGAAACCGAATATGTCCTTAAACAGTTCAAAACAAATAAAAATATTTTAAAAATTGTATTGTGTATAGAAAATGCTAATATAAACAACCAACTATTTTGTCAAAAACAGATTTTGCTTAAGAATTTTTTTTTCTTAATTTTTTTTTTGCTTTTTACGGCGCTTTTGAAAACTTTTGGGAAATTGTAGATACTGTTGAAGAAATCTAAGCTTTTTTACTGTCCTGATAGATGATGACAGACACAAAAACAAAATAAAAAACGAGAAACACATTGTAAAATCAATATACCTATAATATTCATCGCTCCGCTCAGAATCTAAAATAAAAAAAAAATTGAACTACAAAGAAACTTGCAAATATTTGCTATTTCTTCTCAGACATCAAATTTTAATTTTATTTTATTAGAACTTGGCTACTTGTATTTAACTATAATTTGTTATAAATTATAATTCACTACAATATAGCAATAGCAGAGTTGCCGAATCCTCCGATTTTATTTGTAATATATAAGGTACCTATTTATTTTTTAACAAAATAATATAATAAATAATAATATACAAAACATTTTATTTTAGGCTACCATTATCGGTTACAGAACGAAAAAGTGTTATATCTTGGGATTATAAATAAAAACTGTTCAAGTCGTGTACTTAGTAATGCGTCATACCCAGAAAGTGCAGAAACCACTTGCTTAGGAATATGTGTAATAAATGAAAGGACATTTCAACAATTATTAGCTGGTAAATTAGAGTATATAAAATTACTTAGTAATAATATATTACTTATCAGAAAAGGTATTATTTGGGAAGAAAATCAAACAGGCATTCAGTCAGTGATTTAAGGAATGATATTATGAATACTATTCATTATGTATTTTTTTAACCATGTGGCATGTGCTGAGTATTTTTGTGATAAAAAAAAAAGTGTATTGAGAAATAAATATGCCAAGACTATGAATTTTATGAGGCGTTGAACAAAATTTTAGGGAACTTAACAAGATGCATGTTAGCTACTATAAGTAAAAACAATAAAATCCCAATATATTTCTTACATAAAGCATTTTACATAAAAAGTCTGTTTAAAAAAGTAATTTTAAAGCTCTTGAAATTTTGCCTAAAGAAAAACAAGAAAGACAAAACCAATCGAGATCCATAACTAAACAATTTCGAAAACAATTATTTAAAAACGATAAAACGGATATTTCATACGGGACTGAAGCCATCAAACCAGATAAGGACGGGGAAGACTTTTCTAAATAAAAAGAAGTTTTAAATGAAAAGAGAAAAGCTAGTGAAAAAAAGTGAAGAAATTGAACTTAAAACTATTGACCAGTATCAAAACATTTATTAATCGTCAACTTGATACTGGTTGCGAAAATGTAGTAAAAAGTTTATTGTATACAACACAATTCACTGCTCCTCAATTAGAATATGGTCGTGAGAATGAACCAGTAGCTTTAAGGGAATTAGAAAAATATTTAAGGAAAAAAATTAAACCGTGTGGATTATTTATTGATTCGAAAGGTTTTTCCTGGGTGCTATCTACTCCAGATGGACTTATTGTTGACGACGGAATCGTGGAAATAAAATTCCCATTTTCAGAGGCTGAAATAACTCCCGAAGAAGGCATTTTAACAAAAAAAAATCACTGTTTGACAACTACAAAATAATGGCACTATTATAGTCCGTTTCACAGCACTAATATTCGATTACAGCGCGACCCGTGGACAATTATCTTCAGGGTTTCTAAAAATGTTCAAATACAAATGCCAAATTTAAAAAAAAATATAATGACACCAGCTGCAGCTGTTATGTACATTTTAGTAACCATTGCAGTAAATTTAAACACAGCTACTATTATATCGAAGTATTTTGCTCGTAGACACATCACATACTTATACAGTAACCTCGATCAGACGGAATCTTGACTAATAATCGGTTATTGATTTTTGCTTTTTATTTTGTAAGGCGTCACGTTCCACACACTCCTTGGCTCTCGAAATCAAATCCAAAAGCTCACTATTAGACAGTGTGTGGGAAAATTTTTGTAGTTCCTCGAGGTAGCAGATAGAAGTTTTGTAATCTTTTACCATATTTTCTGGTTCTTCATATTGGTTTTCGTCGTTGTCTTCGTCTTTTTCACTTTCATTCTCAACCATGGATATAGCCGAATCATGGGTTTGCTGCGTCTCAAGTTGGTCATCAATGTGCAGAAATTGTTCTTGGTCAAAATCAAGTGCAGCAAAGATATCTTGAATTTCAGTCAGTGCATTCTCATTGGGATTCACGTCCGATCCATCAATCAAGAATCCAGCTTTACGGAAACAATTTTGTACACATTCATTTTTTAAACTTTTGCACGATAAAGAAATCCAATTTACAGCGTCTAACACAGTTATTACTGGAGCAAGCTGGTGAACCGAAGTAGAACTATCAATTTTGCACACAAGCGACTGTAGCATACATTTACGATAGTACGACTTAAAGGTGTAAATAACTCCTTGGTCCATCGGTTGAGAAACCGAAGTGGTTTTTGGGGGTAGCATTTGAATTTTCACGTTAGACAGTTCAATGTAAGGATGACATGTCGCATTGTCCAAAAATAATAAAATATTTCTGAACTGTGATCGCATATCTGCATTGAAATATTGCGACCACTGTTCCATTATTTCGGCCGTCATCCAAGCCTTCTTGTTAGATTTCCATGTCACAGGTAACGAAGCAATATTCATATTCTTAAAACAACGAGGTTTCATGGATTTTCCTATAACAAGAGGTTTCCTGATTTCACCTGCCATGCTCCCATACATTAAGACAGTTAACCTATCCTTAGATTTTTTACCACCAACACACGCATCGCCCTTTATTACTAAAGACTTGGTAGGGATCCCTCTAAAAAAAAGACCAGTTTGGTTGGCATTATAAATGTCTTTAGCTTCATACCCTTTAATGAGAACTAAGAGTTTGCGTTTCCAATTTTCAACTGTATCTTGATTTACATCATGTGCTTCTCCATTGATTTATTTGCAGACGATATTGTGCCATCGTTTGAACCGGTCAAGCCAACCGTTTGAAGCTTTAAAATCACTGATTCCGAGTTTTTCTGCCAATTTAGTGGCCTCTGTTTGTATAATAGGTAAAGAGATGGGCTAACTTTTCGACCGACAATTGATGAACCACCTGTATAAATGTCGTTCAACTTGTTCATATCCCACCGACACCACTCTTTTACTTTTACCAGAATTTTGTTTTAAATAATTCATCCCCTCACAAACTTTATCCACAGGAAGAAAAGCCAATCCATCCATCATAGCACAATATAAATTGAAGTTTTCGTCCTCTTTATATCGCTTACTCAAGTTCAGGTTTTGTATTTTACTGTAAGTGCTTTGCGATAAATGATAAAAGCACCCTCGAATTAAAATGTGTTCTCCAAAAACTGTTTTGGCAGCTTTGTGAACTGCGATTTCAAAATCAACATTAAAGTATAACGGATCTGGGTATAGTTCGCGATTGATGAAAAATAGGATATGTCTTCTATTCAATATTTGTTAAAAAAATGGCTAATGACCGGAGTTCCAGTTCCGAAGGAGGTATATTTAATTTATTTGTTACCTACATAATGAACTTATTAACTTTCTTTAGTATCAATACTTAAAAAATGCATAATATACTATTAATATAAATTCAAGACATTTTTATAATAGTTTTTGTTTGTTAATTTCAGATTAATATTATTATAGTACCTAGGTATTGATATTCTTCTTTTTCTTCTGGAGAGTTATGAAGGCAAGAAGAAGAAGAAGAAATATCAAATATCTTTTACATATCAAACACATAGAGATATCTGTTATTATTTATAGCAGCTAAAAAATAAAAATAAAATCAATTAAGAAATTACACAATTTTTATTTTTATATTGATACATGTGTTTCTTACCATGCTTTACCACACATTACACTGATTGTCCCTGAACTAATTACATCTATTATTGAATCTCTAACGCTACTTTGAATTTTCACACATATCATTAATTTCTTCTTGTACGTGGTGACTAGTATAATTTTAGTTCCTTTACATATATATTGGAATATATTATTTAATAGATATAACTTTTTAAATATTAACTAAATTTATTACATAAAATAAAAAATATTATAAAACACATTTTAGGTCTATTAAAACTTATTTTTTAACTTCTTTATATCTAAGTAAATAACTCTCCTATAGGTACTATCGGCAGAGTAAAACAACGTTGAACGTTCCCCGGATACTCCGAGTTACGGGATCCACAACCACATAAGCATTTCCGGATTTCCGTTCCGATACTTCAAACTACCCCTCGTACAGTATGTAAAACTTCTGAATGCAATTTCATCTTTTAACTTTCAAAAACTATTCTTAAGGCGTATGCCCAGTGGTTTCGTGGATGTTATTGTTCAATACCCATTCGCCGTTCGTCACATAGCGGGGCCACTGCATGTGATGTTCAGAACAGTAAGTGCGGAACATTCTTCCCAACTTCTCGCCTCAGCCGGGTTTGACTGTGGATGGTAAACACTGGTCGTGTATGCCGAACTCGACTACTGAATTGTACGCCATGGTCAGAAACGATACATCTCGGAGTTCCGTATGTCAGAATATAGTCATTGACTATTCGATGCGTCACAACTCACGGCCATTAAACTAGCTCACCAGCCATTAGACAAATGTAAACATAACCGAGATAGCGTGTTAGAAAAAGACAGCAGATAAGAATGGTACTGCTGTCTTTTTTTATCACACTTAACAATATGATTGCTTACCAATAAATAATAATATCGTTCGTTTAACGTTTTGTTCTTTGTTTTAAAGTTTTAAACTTTAACTTAAATAAAATTAAAATACTGGACAAGTTAAGATGGTGCATTTTTGTAGTGGTTTTTATTTTACTAGCTCAAGTGACTTAAGGAAAGACATGTAATTTCACAAGTTTGTATAAAGTGTTATATAGTGTTATTGATTTTACACATTGATTATTTCAAACAAATGTACATTTATCATTTTGATATTTAAGGTTCCCTCTTAAAGAGAAAGAGAGGCTCCAAAAATGGGTACATGCTGTTCGAAGAAAGGATTTTAAGCCTATTTCCAGGTCAACATTATGTAGTTTACATTTTAAAGAAACTGATTTCTATTCAACTGTTGTAAGTGGGAAACTAATGTTAAAAAAATCTGCTGTACAGGCACGTGTTTGAGGGAGGAGGGGGGGGGTGATAGGTGCGATCCCCCCCCATATGTCTGTACAGTCCATCTTAATTCTTAGTATGTAGGTATCTTATAAATTATAAGATTATAAAAAAAATTTTACGATCTACTATTTTTTAAAATAAATTTGTATAATAATATTACTAATTTACGATTTAAGAATTATTAAGATAGTATCAGTTAAATCGTGATAATGATTTACACTGATGTGGTGATTCCGGCGCCTTATCACCACTTACGCTAGCGCGCCCTTTTTCAAATAACCATTTTTTACATTGTATTCGTTTTGTGATTTATATTGTATTCTTTTTATTTATTGTCTCTGTGAAATTATTATAAAATATTGTACCGTCTTTGGTCACGTGACGACCCGACTTTTTCTCCCGCCTCGCGCGGCGACTTCGCCGTTACGCGCTCGAAGCCGCCGTCGCGCGCTACCATCGTCACTCGCTTTTTCGCTCTCGAAACATAAACTCGAGCAGCCCTACGTCTCGACGACCTGTTTTTATTACGTACCTTTTTAACTGTCATTTTTATATCTTAACTATTTTTATGTTTGAAAATATTACTCAGTCGATTCAACATCGAATTTGTCGTTTCGTCATTTACCTCCTACCTACCTACTTAGAAACCTCCTGATTTTGGTGTCAAAAAACATAAGTAATATCCGGCGTACCCGAAACCACGTTTCGGACCACGACAGTGGTAACGCACCACGGGTATTACCACACTGAGATAGATAAGAATATTCTTCTATATATTCTTATCACGGTTCAAATATTATCCATTACATTTTTTGACGAAAAGATAAACGTTTTTGAATACGGGTAAAGAAGGATCTAACATCATATTGGTTAACGGGCTCGTTTCCTAGGTTCAGATCATAGATAGTTTTTAAATTTGTTTGTTTTCTATTATAATTGCATCAGATTGTGCACGCTTCTTGTATGATTTAAATGTTTGCTACATGCTTGCATATTCTGTAGATTGAAAACTTGGTTGCGTTCAAAAATGGGACAAAATCGGGTATGTGGATTAGCATTATTGAATATACACAGAGAAATAGAAGTTGATACTCAAGAAATTATAGAAAGGTTTGTTAAAATGAAAAGGAAACACGCCCATTTCTTATTGTAGAAAATGACAGATGTAATAAATTCATTATGACATATTATTTGTAAGAATGCAAAACACAAATTGTTTTTGGTTTAATATGTAATTGTTTTTTATTCTCACGTAGTGAAATAGAATAATAATTTATTTAATTGTTTACAATTTATTCTTTTCTTTCACAAGTGCTCTTCGAGCTACAAATATTTATTTTAATTCAGGTGTGTGTTTTATTCAATTTTGCTTTACAATGTTTTCTTTTGAGTACAATTGCTCATAGAGTCACAGATATTTGCTTTAATAATTTATTGACAAGTATACAAAATCAAAACCTCACGTGGATCGCTAAAAGTGAGAGAAAGATGCGTTGTATCCGAATGGCAGCCGACGGGTGTGAAGCAGGATTACAACAGCATACCAAGTTGCGATGCCGGGCGGTTGGTTTGACTCGTCCTCGGGGCAATGGTCAGGCTCTCCTACTGGTGCTGGTCCGACGTGGTATTATGGTGATGCAGATATCCGTCAAATAATATGGTCCAAATATCGATGGGTCTGTTGTCAAAATGATACTCAATATGCGACTATAGCGCGGGTGACGACAACAACATAGGCAATAATGCGGCGATTAATTAATTATTACGGCGACGACGCATTAATCGACGGCGGCGCGTGTGAGTAGCGGTGGCAACGGAAACATCTACGACGCACGGGTTCACGGAGTTGACCGATTGCGACGGCGCGCGTTGCCACACTTGGGGATTTTTCCCCAAATTTGGTGAATTTTTGTTGGGGATTTGGGGAGAGAAACTTTTAAAAAATTGAAATTTTGGGGATTTTTAAAGAAAATGTGTTTTATGCTCAAAATGAACAAATTTAATGCTTTAAAATGCAATTATCAGAATATGACCCTGTATTAGGTTCAAAAAAAATGTCACAATAATTATCAATATGTTTCATGGCAATTAACATTTATCAAAAAAAAAAAAAATCGTTTCGATAGTTGACAGTAACTATCCCACTCTTATTCGCGATTATATTGTTCCGAGTGCAGTGATTGTATTATCAATAAAGACATGAAAATGTAAATGTAAATTTTATACAAACTTCAAGTACCTACTGGCTACTCGCTACTACCCTACTACCGTATCTAAGTAATCTGGGATTAAAAAGTAAGTTTTAATTTATATAATGTATGTAACATTATGTCGCTATTGAGATTAAAGAATAATTTAAATTTATAATTATATATTTATTGTTTAGTGACAAGTACTTATGATGAATCTGTTCAAAGTAATAGTCCTCCTAGAACTCCGGGTGCCAAGAAATAGAAAACATGGCATTACGAACACAAGTATCAAGAGCACTGGGAAAACGATGAAGATTTTAAAAAGTGAATTGGACGTAGTAAGAAAGGAAATTTTTATTTTTACTGTAAATCTTGTTTGAGCGATTGCAAAGGTGGGTTGTCAGCAGTGAAAAAACACCAGTCATCCAACAAACACAAACAAACTTTGAAAAATGTCAAAGTCACATCTGTTTTTGATATGCCTTCTACCAAAAATTTGATTTCTTCTGTCCGTAAAGTAAAAGTTGCAGAAATTCGCATAGCATCGTTTATTGCAGAACATAATCTACCCATAAATTCGGTTGATCATCTGGTTGGGTTAATAAAATCCATTGATTTAGAACATAAAGATTTAGAGAAGTTATCGTGTAACAGAACTAAATGTACACGTCTCATAAACAATGCTATTGGAGCTACAGGATTTGATAACGTTTTAAATATTATGAAAAATTATAAATTTTCAATTTTTAGTTGATGAGTCGACAGATCATAGCTGCATACAACATTTAGCGATTGTTGTTCGAACATGCATCAATTTTGTAGTATCTGACTCGTTTATTACCTTGTTGCCATTAGCAGATGCCACATCACAAAACATGTATGAAGTAATTACCAATTACTTTATTAAACATCAAATCCCATATAAAGATAATTTAATTGTATTTGCTTCTGATGGAGCAAATGCGATGATGGGTGTAAACAATTCATTACAAACTGAATTAAGAGCTGATGTTCCCAATTTGTTTATACTAAAATGTGTTAGTCACTCATTGGCCTTATGTGCAGATTATGCCTGTAAAAAATTGCTAGATACAGTTGAAAACATGGTTCGCTCAATTTATACATATTTTCAACAGAGCTTTAAACGTCAAAAAGAATACGAGTCTTTTCAAACTTTCTGGTCAATTAAACCACATAAACTGTTGCAACTATCAGGCACCCGGTGGCTTTCTGTATTAGCTGCCGTAGAGCGTATTTTGGAACAATACAAAGCTCTGCAATCGTACTTTCATCTGGAGAAGTTTAAAGATGTATTACATGGAACAAACATTTCTAATTATTTAGATGACCCAAAAAACAAATTGTATTTAGAGTTTTTAACGTTCATTTTGCCTACAATAGTAAATGTAAATCTTGAATTCCAATCAGAAGCTCCCAAATTATACTTGCTTTATGATCGAATTGCTTCTGCTTATAAGTTTATTTTACAGTGCTACATAAAACGAAACATTTTAAATAATACTGACATTTCTGTACTGCAGAACCGTAATCCTGAAAATTATTTACCATCAGAAAATATATACTTGGGACCTGCAGTAGCTGTAGCATTTCAAAACAATATCTTAACCGTACAAGATAAAGACATTTTTCAAACCAATTGTTTAAGTTTTCTGGTAGAATGTGCCAGGCAAATATTTGTACGGTTTCCATTCAATTCAAATGAAGTGAAATCATTGAAACACATGACATTTTTAGACCCAAGCAATGTGAAAAATACAACTACTTAGGATTGGTTTCCATATGTTTCCCTAAGATTGTAAATGACCCAAATGAACTCGACAGAGAGTGGCGTTTATTTATCAGTAACATAAACATTGACAAAGAAAAGCCTGTTCTTAAATTTTGGAAAGATAGTCTTATTATCCTTAAAGGTGATGATACACTCAATTCAGGACTGCTAGTGAGTCACTTAAATCACTAAAAGTCACTTTTTTCTGTTTTAAGTCACTTTTAGTCACTTTTACAGACCTACGTTCAAATATGATCACTTTTTTCACTTTTTATTTAATATTTTGGCTATGCCTTTATCTATATTTTTTTTTTGTGAATCTTGGATCATAATCCTAAAATTATTAATTTGGAAATTAGATGTTGATAAAATATTATTCTCATAGATAATATAAGATAAGATAGTTCTTCTTTCTTAAGATAGTACTATCTTCAATTGTGTATGTGTCTATCATGGTTGTCCGTAACAATTACGGTTGTAAATACAACCACGGTAACAATACAAATATGGCCTATCCGTGATTATCTATGATTATTCTTGTGTAATTTCATATCAATGTCTTTGTATATTTTTCCATGAAATCCTGAATATTCCAGATACTATATAGTATCCTAGGCTAAATATATATTTATATTTTTAGCCATGGATATTATAATTAATAATATCTTTAACCATTTTGTTCCTTAACCTTTAATCTTTATTATTCATTACTTAAACCACAGACATAATGTACTTATAATAAATTGAATGACAAATTTTTGTGTTTTGATTACGTGTCTGCACAAATCACGTTTTTAATTTTTATGATATTTGGTGTGTTAGTTTGTTCAGTTTGTTTAATTTGTTTAGTTTTTATTTTAAATTTAAAAATGCCTAAATGCAATGCAAGAGATGACTGGTTTTTTAAAGATGATATGCAAGGAAACAAAGTATCAGATTGGGGCAGAAAAACTGATTGTTCTAGTGAAATATTTTGTTCTATTTGTATATGTACTGTTGATGTTAAAAAAGGTTTTCAAAGTCTGACTCAACATGCAGCTACCAAAAAACACAAACAAAACGCCCACATAAAGCTTAATATTAAACAACTAAAATTAACTACAAGTACAAATACTACAATTGAAAACAATTCTCGGATTGAAGATACATTAGTTGAAAAAAGCAGTAAGTCAACTACATTTTCCACTGTTCATCTTTATAGTATAAGTGATCAATCAGTAGTAGCAGAACTGATTTGGGCATTAAAAGTTGTATCTAGTAATTACTCATTTGCTTCAAGTGATGGAATTGTGGAAGTGTTTAAGACAATGTTCCCTAATGCTATACCCAAAGGTTTCAGTATGAGTCGCTCAAAATTGACCTATCTGATAACTGATGCCCTTGGACCATATTTTCGTGAAGAATTGATTAAGGATATTGCCAATGAGTATTTTAGTATTATCTATGATGAAACAACAAACTCAGGTGGGAACAAAGAACTCCAAGTGTTAATTCGTTACTATTCTACAAGTAAATGTAAGATTATAACTCAACACTTACAGACAGTGTTCATAGGAAAAGCTACTGCTGATATCTTGAGTGAAAAAATTGTTAGTGCTGTGGAAAATTCAAATTTATCATTAAGTAAATTGTTGATGCTTGGATCTGATGGTCCAAATGTCAATAAGAAAGTTGCTCGTCTTATAAATGATCAAATTTTACATTGTAGATCAAAAAATCTAATCAACATTGGGACATGTTCTATACATACCATACATAATGCCTTTCTAAAAGGTATTGATAAATTTGGTGAAAATGCTGAACAACTAATAATTTCAATATACTACTATTTTAAAGGTTGGCCAACCCGCTGGGAAGAATTTGAAACCATTTTAGACAAGTTAAAACTTCCAATTAGGCGCTTTATTAAGCATGTTCCTTCTAGGTGGCTGACATTACATGACTCTGCTAATAGAGTTCTTGAAAATTGGTCAGCTGTCGAATATTATTTTTTGAAGTTTATTCCGCAGCACAAATCAAGCGTTTTAACAACAAATAGTTATAAAAAAATTAGAGAATTTCTTTTAATTATTACAATAAAATGTGAAATGATATTTATTCAATCTAGTGCAAAAATATTTATAAAATACACAGGCACTATGCAAAAATCAGAACCGTTAGTGCATGTAATGTATACTGAATTGCACAATCTCTTATGTACTTTAGTTGGCAGAATTTGTAAAACTGAATACATTCCAAAGTCATTTTTTAATATTAAGGTTAATGATCTATTGACAGTTGAAAAAATGATAGCGGTTAAAGATATTGTTGTCAATAACTTAATACAAGAAGAATTTAAAGAGAAAAAAATGGTCGGTAAAGATATATTGTTCTTTTTGAAGAATGTACAACAGCACTATATTGCTGCATTTAAGCATGTACTTGAAACATCACCCATACAAAACTCTTTTTTGAAGCATTTACAATGTTTGGGACCCTTGGAGCGTCTTAAAAGTCGTTCTTGTAACAGCATATTAAAACTGAGTAACGATTTGCCATTTGATGTTGATGATGACATTTTACTTGATGAATGGAAGTTGTTGCAACTAGATAAAGATGAGAAAGAAAGTGATCTTAATAGAATTGATATTTATTGGAAACAATTCTTTGAAAAAAAAAATAGTACAAACAATTTGAAGTATCCTAATGTAACTAAAATAGTGAAGTCATGTCTTTCCTTGGTACACGGTAGTGCAGACGTTGAAAGAAACTTCTCAATATCTGGGAAAATGTTAACGGATGAACGTGCTTGTATGAATGAAAGAACTCTTAATGCATTGTTGGTTACAAAAGATAGTTTAAAGCAATATCAAAATAAACCAGAATTGGTGTTGATGACTAAAAAACTTATAACCATGGCAAAAGGAGCACATAAACATTACCAAAATTATTTAGAAGAGCAGAAACTAATAAAACATCAAAAAAATGAAAATAAAAAAATAGAGGTACAGATTATGAAACAGTTAGAAGAAACTCAAAATAAAGTTAAAGAAAACCAACAAGAAATACAAGAAAAAGAAAAATTACTGAAAATTGCAAGAGAAAAAGAAACCCAGAAACGAAGCGTTGCTAATAAACTATTTGAAGAAGCCAATAAACGACTAAAAAAGGCCATTCTTGAGAATAATATCCAAGAAGCTGAGTTAGCTCATGCTATGCTAGAAGGGGTGAATACAGTAAAAAAAGAAGAAGAACAAAAGAAAAAAACAGCTGATGCCCTTCAAATACAATTGGAAAAAAAGAAGGCATCTTTGATACAACATTTGTCAGGTGCAAAATAAGTGTTGTTAAGTAATTTAATATAACTCAATGAGACTGTTTTAAAATTAAAAATTAAGTTGTATAATTCAATATCTCTACCTATTAATGTGATTATAATTTATTTATGATTTAATTATAAAAAGCAATTTAACAGGATTTCATAAATTACAATTATTATTATTAAGTTTAAAATGTTATTATTTATACATTGGTATAATATTTATTAAATTGTTTATTTTATATTTTAATCTTTTTATCTTTTAACAATTTGTTTGAAATGTAATCATAATAACGTGATTTGTTTAATTTAAATAAATAATTCATGATGTGTTGATATACAAATGATTTTTTAGTTAGATGTTTGGGTGAGTTGTTGAAACTGAAATATACATGTAATAAAAATAGATATGGAAATATTATAAATCATTTTATAGTTTAAATAATGTTTATGTCTTGATGTTTCATGGTGTTCTTAAATTTGATTACTTAAGTGGAAAGATAAATGTATATTATAATATATTTTTCATGTTATTTAAAATAGTTAGCTAGTTACTTGCATCATTTATTAAAAATAACTTATGATGACTTTTGAATAATTAAAAAAAACATTGGTCACTTTTTTCACTATTTAAAATATTTTTGTCACTTTTTTCACTAATTTAAAAAAAATAATCAGTATCAGTACTGACTCATGTATCCTGAAATAAATAAGTTTGTTACGGGATTACTATCACTGCCACACAGTAGTGCTTGTGTTGAGAGAGTGTTTAGTGCTGTAAATATAAACAAAACAAAATTAAGAAACCGATTGTCTACAGAAACATTGTGTGGATTGTTACTGTCGAAACAATTAATAAAAGAAAGTGATGATAAAACCTGTTATAATTATGATGTAACAAAAACCACTATTGATAAACATTAGGTAAGTAACTAAAAGACTGATCAATGAGACTGTTTTTTTTTTTTTTTTAATAATTTTATAAAATTTAATTTACAGTGTTATTTACTTTTATAAATTTATTTATTTTTAAGTTCGTATTGATTATTAATTCTTAATTGTTTATATTGTTTCAATAAGTGTACCAAGTTTCTACTATTCATTTAAGAATTTGTTTTTTATTATTTTATAGTTTTGCTGTTAACTATTGAGTTTATTCATAATATTTTATTTCAGTTTGGTTGATTATTATTAATTGATGTTTATATTATTTCAATATGTGGACTAGGTCGGTACTATTTATTCAAGAATGTGTTTTTTTATGATTTTATAGTTTTGCTGTTAACTATTCAGTTTATTCATTATATTTTATTTCAGTTTGGTTGATTATTATTAATTAATGTTTATATTATTTCAATATGTGGACTAGGTCGGTACTATTTATTTAAGAATGTGTTTTTTTATGCTTTTATAGTTTTTCTGTTATTACACCATACATTTTGGTAAAATACTAAAATCTTTGTTTTGTTTATTTTTCCTCATCTTCAGATTGTAGTGATCCCTCACTAACGCTTATATTTTTGAGTTCGACGACGTTGATGGTTGAATAGGATAAAAGGTTGCAGAGACAAGTTACACAAGTTAGTTATAAGTAGTTTATTAATGCGAAAAGCATCTGCCCGAGAAGTTAGTTACGTACAGTATGTACGTAGTGCAAACTCTAAACTAATTCCAATTTTGCAATAGACATCATCTTATATTTATATGAAATCTATGCGGATATAAAGTACACGGTAGAGTCTAGGAGGTGGATATTTGAAAGGAGCCTGGATGTAGATGTTGTTATTGCCAAAAGACCCGAGTGGTTGATTGGCAATTTAATCCGTTTGTTTTCGCATTATTTGGCGAAGCGAATAATCGTTAGAGTAGTTGTTTAATTGCTCTGTCAAATCCCAAGGTATTGCAAAAATATTCCTAGTTTTGTCGTTGTCCAGCGTGACATCGTGAGAAATGTAATTATAATATTGAATATATAAGAAACGTGTAGTGTAGTGTATCAATATATAGGAAACGACTCTGTCGGTTTACTACATTCCTCCCCTCGAAGATGGAAGTCTCCGACTTCCCTTAGTTCAAGAATGTACGAAGTTGTGGATAGCCAGTAGGGCTGTTTCTTGGTGCGAGTGGGAATTCGACTATGTCGACGCTTCTTTGCGACGCTTCTTGGTCCGCACCATGTGGTTCTGTTTCTTCTTGTGACTCTACTTTTGCATAGTTTGTTTTGGATTTAATCGTATTTATAATAAATATGCTCACTGTCATAAAAATTACACTTGCTATGACATAAAGTATGTAATTATTCAGTTCCTGTGAGTTTTTAAGTTCGTCGATACTGTTGTCGACTTTGCGTTGTTTTTCTAGTTGTTTTTTCGATCCTGACACTGTATTTAGGTCCTCCATGTTGTTTGTTTTGACGTGATAGTCCTCCATTAAATTGTTAGTCTCTACGCGTGGTGAGTAGAGGTTACGATCTATTATTGACCGTGGGTTGAAGTCCATATACTCGGATTTGTAATCAACTTTACCCGGTATCAGTATGTCTCTAGTGGCGTAACCTTTGCAGGTTTCGTTTAAGTGTATAATTCCTACACCTTTGAGTGTGTGACTAGTTGATTCCTTGTCTTCATCACAGGTAACAAATAGTACGTCATAGTCGGTCACGTATATCCATTCATTTTTAAATCTCTTCTTATGGAATATAGTTGTACCTATTTGCACATGCATTACTTCACAATTGTTTGGAACCTTGTCTGGATCCTGCAATAATAGTACTTCGCATGTGGGTCGTATATTACGAGGATGTAAAGGATTACCTTCAGGACATAATAGGAAATCTCTAGCGTGTTTACAATGAGTGTAGTAAAATTCGTCATAAGTTGCATAGTGTTCTTTAGATTTACTTATAGCTATGTACTTATTACTAGGTTTTATATAAACACAATCATTGTCAATACATACTGGTACAGGTATTAAATTATATAAAATAAAGTCGTTTTGATAAATTAATGGTAAAGTTATTATAAAAACTAAGTTGTCGTTAGCATAATAAATAGCAATATCTGAGAGTTTCACCAGTTCGTAAATGTTAGCAATGTCTAGGTCAGTGGGTAAATCGGTCCCCCCTGGTAAAGATACTTTAATATCTTTGACGTGTTCTAGTAACTCTAGTGGAGTTATTAAACTGGGATGTATAATTCCTATTTTTGTTTGTTGTATAATTTCTAATATCGTATCCGTTTCTAACATATGTTTGGTAATTAATAAGTTAACGTGTATAAAATGTTTTGTAAAATAATTTTTTATTTGTTGTTCTCTTGTAATGTTTGTAGTTCCGTTCACGGATAATGACAATGGCAACATAGTTATATTGTCGTGTGGTTTTAAATTATGTTGTAGTTCTACTACCTTAATTTGTTCCTTTATTAGTTTATATTGTGAAGTGTTTTTAGCTAATCCTATATTAAAATTAAATTTTTGTATGCATTCCAAATTACATATTCCGTATATTAACCTAGCTGCTTTTGTTACGAGTTTAGTTAAAGCGCTACGTTTAGTTATTACGTGTCCAATAGAATTTAAGACCTGTGTCTTTTTATGATGTAAATTTTCAACTATAGCGGTAGCTGAAAAAAGTAAGTTGTTACAATTAAAATTATTTTGTACTGGGTCGTGCATGTATTCAACGCACAATACTTTCGTTTTTTCTAGCACTATGTTTATGTACTCGAATTCGTTATTATATTTAGTAAGGTTAATATATGCAGTAAGGTCCCATTGAGATGTTACAAGTTTCAACGGTCCTCGATTTTCGTAGTAAATACCAGAATGTTGAGTTAAGTGTTCGTCTGTGAATCGTAATGTGCCCGATGTGAACGGTATTGTTAGTAGGATAAGTCTGAAATCGTTTCAGCTTATTAGTCAAGTCATAGTTTTGAATATTTAATATAGTCCTACCTATAAATATTTTGATTTTTTTTAAAATCTAAGTTATTAAATATTAACCCATTCACATGTATAATTGATATATATATAAAAAAAAACTAATTGATAACCTTGTACCGAATAATAATAATAATAAAATAATAAAATAAAATACTAAAGAAAAAGTAAATACAAATTGAGTGAAAAATATAAATAATACGTTAAGTTACGTTATAATTCTACAGGTTCACTTTTGTTTTGTTTTGAGCGTACGGCGTCATTAATTGTGTTTTTATGAATTTTGTAAAGTTGTAAGAAAAGGCACCGCGTCCATTGGACGTCTGCACGTGGATCATGGGCTTCCAGTCCCCCATGGTAATATAAGTCTTCACATAACAGCGTATGTGCTTCGTCAAGTTTAAGCGCCCTTCCCCTTTTTATGTGCTTTCCTATTGGGATTGATGCTATCGGCTCGTTACTTCCGTAGTCAGTAAGTAAGAGGACGAAATGTCCATCCATGTGCAGGTCCCACCCTCGTAAAGAAAATACGGGTCGGTTAATGTTTAGTAATTCCAAAATTTTTTTGTCGGTGCTTCCCTCCCAAGTTAATATGGCGTCGTAATGATCTAATTGTTTTTTTATTTGCGGTTGTGTAAGGTTTGGTGACAATGAGTGGTCCGAGTCGTATATTTGGGCGAGTACGGGGTACAAAGAGGAGGGTTTATCCTTAAATATGTGTTGGAAATGTCTAACCAACTGTTTCCATTCATCATCCGTAATGGGTCGATTTTCCTGCAAATGCAACGCCCGCCCCTCTAGTTTTGTAATAATTGTCGGTTGATATCGGCCCATAATGGCGCCTGATATCAATATTAATCGATCTCGCCCGCAGCTGCCGAATTCGAAATCTATTATTGCGAACTCAGGTACTTTACTGTAAAATACACTTATTTTAGTCGTAAATTAAAAAAAACATATATTATGTTATTTATGTTAGTATATATATAAATAAATCGAAGTTCAGTTTTAATAAAAATAAGAAAAATAGAAAAGTAAAATTATGGTTACATTATTAAAAGTTTAGCCGTTTATATACGAATA